CGGAAATTAATTGTTCCTTGACTAGATCGGTGAAACACCTACATTCATTCATAAACAGTTATTTTTAGGTCGGACGGGAGTTTCGATGGAGAAAGGACGTGGGGGATTCCAAACTCGTTCAGCCGGAAATAACATCATTAATGTAACAGTATTATTTAGGTAATATTTGTGAATCGAAATCAGATTTTAGTATTGTGGATGAGATTTTTATTGAGATACTGTATCGCTGCCAGTTTTTCACAGAAATCCGATGAAAATTGCTGTCTGGGAGATCCTTTCACTGGACATTTTGCAGAGGCAACATTTACTTTTATCTAGAAGACGATGAATTGATTGCTGGGACAATACTTGTATTCGCCTGACGTTTCCAGATCCGTCGCGGATTCTTCATCAGAGACAAAGTCAAAGAGCAGTAGCAGAAATGGGTCACATATCAATTAACAGCTTACACCTAAAAGAGCTGTAGACCTGCATCCTGACTACCAGGCGCTAAGCACACGCAAGTCCACTGTCGATCAATCTCACGATCAGTTGATTAGAGCATAACATACCTAGTCTGCGATGCAAGGTATGTTGGTGAAACGGGCGAACGCCTAGGCACAAGATTGCATGAGCATCAGCTCGCAATCAACCGCAAACATAAGTTGTATATGGTTTATGACCACGTACAGCAGAAGAATCACAGGTTTGCCTTTGAGAAAGCAAAGGTAGAAGGCCGAGCCAATGACAAGAGGGCCAGATTGCTGCTAGAAAATTAGTCCTCGACTGGCACACTTAACAGAGCCAAAGACCTTCCTCCCGCCCACCATGCGCTCCGCACAAGGCTAATGTCCACTCAGAACGGATGAATGAGCCGGGCGAAGGAAGAATAGCACGGCCGACAGTCGGCGCCCGCGAGCAAAGGAGGTGGAAATGATCAGGAGGCACATGAATAGCGTGGCACAGCTTCTCATGGAGGTGCCCAGTAATCGCTTGTTGCAATCGATCGACGCGCGTGCATCAAGTACGGCTATAACACAAGGCTATTGGTAAGGCATACTCATTCAACGCCAGCAGAAGAAGAGACATTACGCTCTGACGGTGAAACGAGAATGTTTTTGAAACGTCAGCCTAAATATAACTTGGTCCCAGGAATTGTCCCATCTTCTTCTTCCTTTTCCGGAATTTATATAAGCAACATATATATGCTACTAGGGTGTTCATCCGATCTACCTGATGAGGGCATATACTTGTCCCAGTGTGCCTCGAGGCTCGTACTTAAATGATCTCAGGCTGTCGCTTAGCGACCTCAGACATGTAATGGAAGGGATCTGACAAAGCGAAGGGAGACTGGAATGGCCATTTCTGAATTGTTAGCCGTCATCAGTCGGCCATACCCAATCGCAGGGGCCGAAACTTCCGAGGTTCGAAACCGGGACCTGTGGTTACTGAGTTTACTATTCTAACATTTCACCACGGGCTCGTTGATTTGTCGGTTGTGCTCGAAGTAGTTTATATTCCGGGTCTCGGGCACCGCCACAGCTGGCTTTGGGTATGACTGACTCATAACGGATAATGAGCCAGATGTAGCCATTCCAGTCTTCCTTCTCTTCGTCGGTAATTTTAATTTGCCATAAAGAAGCCAGTTTCAAATCGCAGGCATCCCAAACCTGGGGTTGCGCGTGGCCGGCTGAGGACGATCCATAAGTCAGCATCCCAGTTTAACTCAGCTTTTTCCCCTACGTACATGCAGTGATTGTTTCAATGTTGCACAGAATTTTTTTCTTATTTTAGGTCCCCATGTAACACTATCAGATGTTTATATTTTTTAAAATCAACTTTATAAACCAGATTTGTGTAGTACAAAACCTTGTCTAGGTTAGGTTAGTCTAGGGGTACGGTTAGTCTGCATTGCTAAAGTGTATTCTCAACAAATCAGTATCTTAGTACATAGGTGTACTCCGATCTGGTCCAGGATACACGAATCCTGACTGTTTCGTCAGGCGAGGCGTTGACACTTCCACTTTTTGTCGACGAAACAAGT